AGAATATGGATAGCTTATTATAAATATAGCCTCACTGCTAGATAAAGTTAATCAAGGCAAATGATCATATTTCTTAAAACAAAAATCAGATAATGACTGATGTCTGCTTCTGTATATGAAGAACAGTAAGTAGGTTGTGATTTAGATACTATGAAAATAGAATTTCTAATCTATTCTAATGTCATGAAGACAACATCAGAATACATAAATTGAGAAATTGTAGATATACGGTCTCATAAATAATAAGGTGTATTTATATACTGGCCTCTCCCTTATTAAGCTGTTGTAGAGACTCAATAAGATAATGTCTGTAAAATGTTCAGCACAGAGTTTAATACATATCAATTATTCAACAGACAGTGACAGTGATGATGGCAGGGTTGACTATCTTACGGCCCAATGTAATGGTGTTATCTTTACGTAACAAGAAACAACTTACATAAAGTAAAAACACAAATTATGAAGAGCAGTTTTACTTTAATAACCTATTTTATGGTCCCACTTCATTTTCCAATGTCACAGAAAGAATTATCAGATAAGAGCTTTGGTTCTGTATTTAACAGGCAAATGTTAAGGTAAGAATTTTAAAATAGGCTTTTTAATCCTGCTATGGTCTTATTTTCTTCATCTGTAAGATGGTAATGATACTATCTCCCTTATCCATTTTGTAAGATGGTTGTGAAAGATTAAGTCAGAAAATTGAAGGGAAATACCAAGGCTTCTAATTCCATTCTCTTCTTTCATTTTATAGTCTTCAATATTACTTAACATTTTCTACTTGCAGAGGCACCAGGGCATGAAAGAAAACAACTTTGGGTAGATGGGCAAGAATGTAACATTTTTCTTCCCTGTTTGAGGGAACCAGCAGCAAAAGATAATAGTTTTGTGCCCATTCCCTCCTACCCATGATTCTATAAAACTTGGCCCTTTTAGCCTCATCTGTAATTTTTAGACTGTGTTCTAAATTTGTCCATTTACTGTTCCCTGAGGAAGTTCATTCCTTTGTTCATTATTATCCAGTCCATGCCCTATCTTTCCCCATCCACCCAACCATCCATCTATTCATCAGTCCATCCAAAATGTTCTTCTACTTCATCTTTAACCTTCAAAATCTACTAATTCTCCAAATCTTCCTTCCTCCACGAAGTCTTTCTTGTTGCCTTCCATGTCAGAAATCATCTTCCTCTACAAAGCTTTAGCACTCTGTGCTATTTCATGGTTTTTAAAAGCACAGTATTTCTTCCTATAATTATTTTGTATTCATTTACCATCCTGTATTAGACAGTGAGCTCCTTGAGGGTAGGGGCTGTCTCACACATATAGTATTGTATTCATAGGACCTGATTTAGTTATTTGCATTCAGAAGGAGATTAAGAAATACTTGCTTACTACTAATTGATTAAAAAACCCGGGAGTCAAAAATCTTAGCTGAAACCTCTATTTACTAAAAACTTGACAACATTCCCCCTGCCAAAAAAAAACCCAAAATAACCAACCGCAAAACAACCCAGCAATATTCAAGAAGGATTTCTCAAAGGATATGTAGTTCATATCCTTCTCTAGTTGTCATGAAATCCATCCTTTAAACTGGACTAACAGAAAAGTATATTATTTGGGCCTTTGCAGAGATACTTTTGCTAAACTGCACTTTGGCTTTATGACTTTGAACTGCTTGGTCATAAGAAGTGGTTACACAAGACTTGCTATTGCTATTATGGCTACTGGGTATGGTTGGGGGTAGTATTCACCCTATTGCACAGCTTCCTCTTGAAGGGGAACCACAGGAAACAATGCTCTAAGTTCTTGGTGCTTGAAAAATCTGGGCTCCCTTCCAGAGGCTGGCTTTTATCTGATGCTACAGTGTGAAACTTATAAATGATCATATATATATATTTTTAGCCCAAGAGAAGCATAGAACAAATTTTGTGGGTCATCTTGAGCTGGACTGTCTACTGTCAACCTGTTAATCATAACCTTGGCTTTTATCTTCTTTTATTTGCCCTTTTCCTGATTACTGTATCTTTCTTTCTTTCTTAAACCCATTTGAATTGCATGTATTTATGAAAATTATTTGAAACTTGTTTTGGAAAGAATAAGAAAATATATAAATTAGTAAAATGGGAGATTTTTATTGCCACTTCTTTGTGTTTCCTTCAGAACAATCTTAAAGCCCTTCTTCTTGTATTTTTAATTTTGAAATTAATTAATTTACTTAACTGTCCATGGATACATATTAGTATTTTAGAAATAAAAAACAAGTAAAATAATTATTTGCAAACATGTAAATGAGCCACAAATATCTTCCTTAAGAGACTGTAGTTTCTCTTGTTCATCCAAACATTTCTGAGGAATATAACCGAAAACTTCTCCGAAAGTCTGAGATGAAGAGTTTTCTCTGGTCTCTAGTTAACTTTTGTATTCAAAGTTTAAAACCTTTCTCTTTATGATGCCAAAGATCAGATCAAAATGCCTTTCTCCATTTTACTGATTTCACTCTAACAGTTGCCACACAGCAAAATGAGGCCAATTACTAAGGATTCCCTGTAACTAAGTTGATTTGATTATTCAATACTTAATTTCTCTAAAGGACTTTGAAATACTAAAGATATCAAAATAATAAAATTACTCTTGTTTCTCAATACAATTATATGGGTTAGGATTTCTGATTAGAAGGGGAGGCAGTGTTACTGTGAAAAGTCAGATGACCTGGCTTCTAGTCCAGATTATGTAAAAACCAGTTTGGCGACCACAAGCAAACTGTATAATCTCTCTGGGTCTCAGTTTCTTCAGAGGTTGCACAATACCACCTTTTCCCAAAGAGTTGTTTATTGTGTGCTGGTGTGCTAAAATATGTTAATTGGTGATCCATGAAAAAAAGGGGTCAAAATAAGTTTTATAAGATTGAATTAAATTAAGATATGCGGAGCATAAACTGTTTCTTAATGGTGGGATTATAAGAACCTCTAATTGTGACCCTGGAAAAATGGGGATAGAGTACTTGGCTGAATTAACTTGGCTTTTTGGGAGAACAGTGGACAAGTGCAAGTGATGGCTATTTGCAAAATATAACTTGTCCTCCTTCCCTCTGTGCCCATCCTTTCCCATGTTTAAAGTTGGACATATGCACTGGGGCAAGATATGTGCTAAAGGATGTTTATGGGGTCTTGTATGAGAAGACAGGGTTTATTTGTATTTGGAAAGAGAGAAAATTTTATCCCAGGGTAAATAAGGTAAGTCATGAGAAGAAGTACATTTGCTACCAAGCTCTAGGCCCAGAATATTCAGTGTATTGTGTACACTTGGCATTTAGCAAGTATACGGTTAATGACACACTATTAAGAGAGAGTGAGCATATGTAAAAGAGAGCATGAAAGACGGAGAGCCCTCAATTTTTAAGCTCTATTTCTTGAAATAGATGAAAAGTAGAGTGACAAATCTCTCTCTTAACTTTTGTGATGCTCTGTATACATGATTCCTACAGATACATACAATGATATATGGCCTTGCACTGAAAAGGAGTAAGAAATAGTGTGACTTTTGCAGTTGCAAGGACCGAGGTGAGAACCTCAGCTGTTCCCATTTCTATGTGGGCCTTCTCAATGAGCTTCCATTTTCTCACTTGTAAGGGGAAATCTCTAACCTTGCAGCTTGTTTTAATGGCCATTGAGTATGCATACGTAAAGCAGCTAGCAGAGTATTTGTACTCAGAGGATGCTCAACAAAATATTTTCTACTTTTCATTACTGACAGTTCTCAGCTTATAGAGACTAGGGTTTGTCAGGGATAGTATCTTGTACATATGTGACAGGCACTCAAAAATGTGTTTGAACATGAATAAACACTGATTTCCAAACAGTGAAATATTACACATCTTTTAAGACCTGGCTCAAATATCACTTTTTCAGTAGTATTGTCTGCTTCCCAAAACTGTAGAAGACTTTTACTTTGCTCCTGAACTCCCTAAGTATTTTGCTTTTACTTCTCCAATGTTATTTAGCATCTTTTTCCTTGATTTGCTGGTACTTGTAGACATACTGTATCTTCCATGCACGATGTAATCTCTCTTGCAGGCAGAAATGTTGTTATTATTAGTTTCTCTTTCAGTGCTCAGCACAGTTCCTGTTCAAAAACTTTTGTTGAATAAGTATGAGGTAGCATTCTTTGACCAAGAATGATGGACTAATGGAGTTTTCTTCAGCCCAAGTTAGGACTCTCCAGGCCTTTCCATCACTTGTTAGGTGGCTTCCTTTTTTATAAGTGAATCTTGCTATTAAATATTAAACCCCTATCTAGAAAAAAAGATCTAAAAAATCCTTTTTTGTGAAGCCATCCTAGGAAGTCATTTGACACCTTTTCTTTTTGTTACCCCTGCACTTTAGGAAAATCTTTATAATAAGATTTACATATGGTGTAGCAATTTTATTTTTACAAGATTATGGACTTCTGGAGGGGAGGACCCAATATCTGTATCCCTACCTCCTAACAGATTTTGGGCATGTACTAAGTATTCAAAAAATGTGCAAAATGAGTGAATGAAAAAATCTCAGTATTGTTATGGACATGACATGAAATCAAGGGAAAAAAATTCCTCCAAGCTAAATGGATTTCCCATAGTTAGGGGCCCAGTGCAAGATGTCACAGAAGTAACTCACAGTGTCTTTTGGTGGGTAAAGTGAAGCCTGGGAAAAGGGCAGAATATAGTATCGTGTTCTTGGGGTAGAAGGATACCAGGAAGGATGGAAGGATCTGTCAGGAAAAACATGGGGAAAGGACTTGAAAAGGATAGAAGACCATGAATCCAGCAGAAGGTCAAATTTTCTGAGAGTTCCATTGAACAGAACAGGAATGACTCTTCTAAGGAAAGGTTAGATTGTATATATTAAAATGAGTCTGGGAAAAGCAGAAAGAAGTAAGTTGGAAGAAATGCTAATAGCTTCAGTATCAGATGCAGTACAAATAAACCTAGCTTTTGAATACCTTTTCTAAAAATTACACCCTACCTCACGTTCTTCTTCTTGCTCTTTGCGAATCTGCTCCAAACGAAACTGTTCTGCCATCTCTCTCTCATGAGCTTCCCTCTGTTGATAAAAGAGAAAGGTAGCCAGCACTCAGTAAGGACTGGTTTACTTTAGAAAAAAAAAAAAGGAGCTCCTTCTCAGTATGGTGCAGAGGTACACTGTGGCTATGGAAATGCTCTTTCCTGAAACAATAGAAATGAAAGAAACAACAAAGCACTTGTCTCAGATCATCACAGGCTCCTATTCAAACACCTGGTAGCTCTGGGAGGTGTGGCATTCAAGAACACATACTTCAGAACCTGTCTCTAGTCTTCAGTTCAGGTCTTTTCTGTTCCCTCTCCTCTACCTAAAAGTCAAACTTTCTTCCACATCAGTCTCTATCATGCAACCATGCATTCTGGCTCCTTGTTAGATAGCTAACTTTTTTATAAGTGAATCTTGCTAATAAATTACTTAGTATACATTACTTCTCTCCTACTCCTCTTTTTCTATCTAGTTCACATATACTATGAAACCTCTTCTATGAAATCCTCCCCAATACATTCCTACTTCTTGGCTCTCCAAAAAAACTTTTCACTGAAACTCCTGTTTACTAACTTCTCATAGAACTCAGTGCTTCCTTTACAACATTTAGGATTCTTGCCTAAGTTTTACAGCTATCCATTTTCTTGACTTAAGCTACTCTACACATTGTAAGCCTTCTTTAGGGGGCAGAAACTTTTAGACTTATTCATCTTTTCCCTCCTTTAAAATCCCGTACAGAAGCAGATGCTCAAGGAGAATTGAATAAATCAGTGGTTCTCAACCCCGACTGAATCTGAAGAGCTTTTTAAAAAATTGCTAGGTTTTACCATAGACTAATTAAAAAAACAAATAAAATAGATACTAGCCCATTTTTAATTTTCATTTCACATGAGTTTTGAAAAACCATTGTCAGAATGAGCATGCTTTTAAGAACCAGGGGTAGAATTATATTCTTTCTGTTAATTGAAGCTAGCTTTTTCCACTGCAAACCCAACATTTTTAGGGATCAAAGTGATAAAAGGGCTGGCACTTAAATAATGAAAGAATATCTGGATTGAGTTCTTTATCCCAGAATTTCCTTGACCGAACCTACCTTCGCTCTGTCAGCCTCCAGTGAAAGGCGATAGGCCTCATCCTGCTCTCTCTTCACATTTTCTCTGGCTTCACGTTCATCCTTAAAAGAAAGGAAAAGATTCAAATGTGTTCTACCGTATTATTTCTTTTAAAGAAAAAACAATGAATCCCCCATCTTACTCCTGTGTGACTTCATTATAATTAAACAAGGCCCTTCTAAAGTGTATACATAAGCAAAGTATATAAATAAGCAAACAAACAATAGGATGAGTAGCACAGTGTATAGTGAAACTAAGAATGTTTGAAGCTTACAAACTGTGTGACCTTGGGCAAGTTATTTAACCTCACTAGGTCTCAGTTTCCTCAACTGTAAAACAAATAATACTTGTCTCACCGGGTTGTTGTAAGAATTAAAAGCAACAGTATTTAAATTGTCTAGCAAAGTACCTAATACTGAGTCCATTTTCACCTTTTCCTCCTGGTTTTTCCAATTAGAAACCTGAAGATTGTCAGCATTTGGACTAAGGACTGGGATTAAGGACTTGAAAATCCATCCCCTGCCTACTGCCCCTGGTTGATATAGAAAGAAGCTGAAAGCAAAATACCCTGGTTAATTTAAGTCCGCACCATACCACTAAGGCTTGGTTGTCAAGTAAGTATTTACCCATAATATTCGCATCCATAAAGTGTGGATAACATAAGTTATCTAAGTTAATATCTTTTAGAATATTTTCAGCTTCTGAAGAGATTATGCTATCTGCCTACATTTTGATCATGATATATGAAATTTTAAGTTAATTAAACTATCAGAATTTCTCATGTGTTAAATTCCAGAGTACAGCCAATATACATGTACTTATGTTTAATAAATACCCATACCTGTAGACATTAGAGTATAGGTTCCCTTTTTGGTTATTTTGTGTAATAGGCTTAATTAATTATATGAACTCACCAATATTTGACTGTTTTTTACCTATAATAATGGAAATTTCATATGGTTTAACTGAATACTTCTTAATTTTTTATCTCCCTAGCTCAATATATGCTTACTCAAGGGGAAGTATATGTTCAGAACTGCTTTAGGTGCTCTGACACTTATTCAAGACTGGTCTTCTCCCTGAAGTCTCATACTCCTTTTAGTTTTCAATGATTCAACCAACAGTAACATTTCATTGATTTCCAATCTTTCAAATAAAAAATTACAAAGAATTAGAAGTTGCTGCCCTGTAGCTAATTACCATACTGGCTATGATGAAAAGGTATGCTAGGGGAAATTATATATTGGAACAAAATACCATGAACAATGTTTAACCCAATGGAGAGATCACTCAGGCTTCAAAAAGTCAGAATAATTTACATGTTATATAATATTACACATGACTAAAAGTGGGTTTTAAAACTACTCAGAGACTTATACTTAGCTGTTAGTATTTATAATTTAATGAAATATAAGCACATTCTTTTAAATATACTTTCATTAATTCCAACTGGGTATTTTCCACTTTGGTCTATAGACCAGATAGAATCAGTCTGATAAGACATATTTTGCCTGTTTCTATTTGCATTTGCCTAATTCATCACTCTGTAAACTCCTTCTTCCACTCAATACACAAGTTTGCACAGAGTGGCCACTTAAGAGTTCACTTGGCTATGGATGATCTGTATTTGATATATCATATTTTTACTTTTTGTCACTGAGGAGAGGTAATGGGAGGCTTAGCAGACCTAAGTTTAAGTCCTAGCCCTGCCAGTGCAAGTTGTGTGTTCTTGGGTAGATAATGTCTCCCTTTTCAGTCACTTATTTATTGCAGGATTGAATTTCTAAGGTTTCTATGACTCTGTGGACAAATAAGCCTTTCCAAATTCAGATTTCCCTAATATAAAATAAAAAACCTATGGGAATAAACTTAGTTGTCTATATTCTAAATGGGGAAATAGTTGTTTAAAATTTTAATTTTACCTTGCTTTCTTAATCCTATCCCTCCAAATTAGTTTAGATTTCTCTTTAGGTACAGTCTCTACTTTCCCTTTAAAACATTTATCATACTTGCAATTAATTAATTATTATATAATTATTTATTTAATGTGAGATTCCCCCATGCCACTGTTGAGCATCATAAAGGCAGGGACCTTGACTATATTACACACCTCTGTATTCCATGTGTTTCACACATTGCCTGGTTTTTGGGAGGTGTTCAATAAGCATCTATTGAATGAATAGATTGTCTTTCTAGGCATACAAAATTTATTGCCTGTGGTAAAAATTAAGGAAGAAAAAGATAGCTCATCCACAAAGCAGCCCCATTTGAATAAACGAAATTGACAAGCTGGGCAGAAATGACTTGTTACGACAGTATGTACACACAACAAAGGGACCTTCTAAAAGCTACCACAGCTGGAAGCCCTTTGAACACAAATATTGTTTATGATAAAGGCATTCTAAGTAAACAGCTCTGTTTTAAAACAGACTGTCACAGATATGAAAGGCCATTAAATATAGAGATCTCTGCCATAAAATGTGGCACCTGTTGTGTGAGGACTTCATGAATCAACTAACTTGCTTACTTCCCTCCCCACTTCATTCCCTTCCATTTCTTTTCCCTTTTTTCCCTCTCACAAATATTCATTAAGCACCAACTTTATATTAGGCAACACACTAGCACTAGGGATACAGAGACAGGCCACCTTTTAATAGGGGAGGACAAAGATAATCATGCTTGGACCACCTTCATCATTATTTTATGGAGTCCACTGATTTACTGTGAAGAGTTCAGCACTCAAGTTTTGCATTATTTTCTCTTTGTTCCTTAAATAATGTCACTCTCTCCACATGGAATACATATTGTTCCTACTTCATCAACTCTATCATCCAAAATCCTACCAGCTTTTCATATACTTTTAGAAATATAAGAGACTAACATGTCTGAAAGAGCCACTGTACCGATGAAAAAACAAATTCTATGAGGGTAAATGATTAATGTAAGACCACCCATTAAGTCAGTGGCAGAGCTTACACCTGAACCCAGGTCTCCCACCAACTTTGTGCTCCCCCGCTGCCCACCCACCTTTAACGACAGTATGTACACACAACAAAGGGACCTTCTAAAAGCTACCACAGCTGGAAGCCCTTTGAACACAAATATTGTTTATGATAAAGGCATTCTAAGTAAACAGCTCTGTTTTAAAACAGACTGTCACAGATATGAAAGGCCATCATTAAATATAGAGATCTCTGCCATAAAATGTGGCACCTGTTGTGTGAGGACTTCATGAATCAACTAACTTGCTTACTTCCCTCCCCACTTCATTCCCTTCCATTTCTTTTCCCTTTTTTCCCTCTCACAAATATTCATTAAGCACCAACTTTATATTAGGCAACACACTAGCACTAGGGATACAGAGACAGGCCACCTTTTAATAGGGGAGGACAAAGATAATCATGCTTGGACCACCTTCATCATTATTTTATGGAGTCCACTGATTTACTGTGAAGAGTTCAGCACTCAAGTTTTGCATTATTTTCTCTTTGTTCCTTAAATAATGTCACTCTCTCCACATGGAATACATATTGTTCCTACTTCATCAACTCTATCATCCAAAATCCTACCAGCTTTTCATATACTTTTAGAAATATAAGAGACTAACATGTCTGAAAGAGCCACTGTACCGATGAAAAAACAAATTCTATGAGGGTAAATGATTAATGTAAGACCACCCATTAAGTCAGTGGCAGAGCTTACACCTGAACCCAGGTCTCCCACCAACTTTGTGCTCCCCCGCTGCCCACCCACCTTTCAATCCAATGCTCTTTCGCTTGCCCATAGACCTCTCTGACCACCACAGAGAGAAGGGCTGGCTCAGGCATGTGACTCAGGATAAATTTTTCTAAACTCATTATGGCCAGATCTTCTTGCATGTTTGGTAGTTGCTTGAGAATGGCTATCATTTCTTTTTGTCTGTCTTGTGGATTTTACACTTGCCTCTCCAACTGTCCTGGTCACAGTTGTCTACAATTCTGGGATCTAGAGAACACTGCTTGGGCATTTTCCCCACACTACTCTGTATTATTAGATTTTTAAGAACATTCCAGGTATTATGGTTAATATTTCATGTATAAATTTGTTCTTACAACCTGTAGATGTGCTGCTTGGAACTTCTCCTGTGTCCTACAAATACTGTCTTTGTGGAAGTTCCCCTTTCTAAATCTGAGTGGACACACCAGATGAAGTGACTAGCAATACATATTGGTTGTTTGGAGGTAGAACATCTGGATGGTCAGGCTCAGCTGTTGCCCAGGGAATGGTTTAGGCTACTTGTTATTAAAATACTCTTTATCACACTAAAGTGATAAGTCATATTGCTCAGAACTAAGTGATAGCCTCTTCTGGTGTCTTTTATCTGTAGCACATTTATCACTGCTCTCATACTGCTTTGTGCTACACTCATTTGGATTTTTGTCTCACTGCTCTCTATCTGAGCTGTAAGCTCCCAGAAGATCTCTACTTGATATGTTTTATATCTGCTATTGCACCTAGGGTACTGTCTTACGTATGGCAGGCCCTCAATTTTTAGTTTTATTTGTTAGATGATGAGTGTAATTATCAGGGTTCATCAGTTATATACTTTAGGTTCTGAAGCCTCTAATATTCTTCAGACTAGCAATTTTTACTGAAGTATGTTTCTTATCCTGAGTATTATAATAACTTTTAAGAAGTGCTAGAATTAGAATTTAAATCTAGTCTTTCTCACCTCTAATCTTGATTTTTGTTTTGTTTTTTCCCACCATGGCATACCAGGTGTCTAAGTAAAGCTTTATATTTCTGGGACAGAAACCATTGAGTAAGATTTTGCTATAACCCATTACAAATAATGAAAACATTTTATGAGCTATCAAGTGGTTCATAATGAGGAACTTAACCAGAAATGGAATTTAGGTACAGCTTGTTACCCCTCTGTAGTATTTAAATTAGTAATTTTCAATCCCTAAAAGACTAATGCAAAATTCTGAATTACCAATTAAAGCAGGCTGTAGTGGTTAGGCTTATTTCAAATACTTATCAAATGCATACACAAATACACACATACATATATACACAAATA